AACACTACTATAGTCAGTAAACTAATGGAAGAGCAAGACTTAAACCAAGAAATCAATGAGGTAATAGATAGCTATAACTTACCCATAAGTATTGATTATAACCACATCATCGCACAAATTGATAACCTTATGAAAGCATTATTAAGACTGAATCTAGACGATAAAGAGAAAAGCAGCAATAGCAAAGTCATTGTTGAAAGGAAAGTCAATAATGGTAAAACCGACAAGATGGATACTTATCGTATCATCAATAGTCCCCTTGAAAATCAACTGATACAAAATTATTTGAAGAATTGAATTATGAACCTACAGATAAAATGCTTATAGTTAATAAAACAGCACTAGAACAAAACAGAGAACTTGTGAAAGAAATCACCGCCATTCAACTTATCATATACACTGGCGATCATAAGTAATGCAACAAAAAAAAATTTTTACTTAGATCGCATTATTTCCCGCAATTCCGGGTGTATCCTTTTATTTTTTTTTATTTTACTCATAAATAGTACCTTTTTTCGATTTTAAAATTTCAATATTCATTATTATTGCCAATGTAAAGATAAGCGAGCATGTAGCACAAATCACGTGTTGCATTACTTTTGATCATTTTTTACAACGATCAGATTGATGGCCATTGTACAATGAAGGATCATATGACCGAAAAATCTATTCCCATTTTTGCATTCTTGTGTTACAATAGAACTTAAATGACGTTCTAGCAAAAAAAAAAATTATGTACGATTTATAACTCAAAAGAGCCCTAGTTTCTTCGTTGCTGCAAAACCGGTATACCACAAGGGTGGTAAGCTAAACATGTAATTTTAGTAACTTCCTAGCTCTTTACACCAATAAAAGTGGTGGAGCTATCGTGTTTGTAAAAAACTAGTGAAGGTTTGTCATTTACCTGTCAGCAATGAGCCAACCCAAGTGACGATTTTAAATTGAGCCACCAACCTTTGCCATTTAATTGCCATTGAAGTATGGTTTTATCAAAAAAATTAAAACATATTAATAATTTAGGTTTTTTTTTTTTTTTTACATATTGAAATTACGGTTTGGTGCTAGAGGTTAAGTAAAAAGAGCTCTACCCATATGAATATCGATGAAAATGTTGGCTTGAATTTGTGAAAATCGGTCTACCAAGTACTGGTCTAGGTAATTTTTTTTAACAAGCTAAAATTCAAAATTTTTTGAGTTAGATAGTAAATAATACTATGGAAATAACTCAAAAAATTATTAATTTGCTTTTAATATTAAAGATTTGGGATGGGTTTGTAAAGGTATAATGCTATATTAAATTTCGCGATATTAATAGCCTTTGCAACGTTGACTATGGGATGAATATTCCATTATACTAATATATTTTTTATTAATATTTTATATATACCGTTATAGATTACAAATTTTCTATTTAAAAAAAAAAATAGAGAAAGATAGTGATGTCAAATATAGCATGACACTTATAAGACATTAGCTTAGAAATAATTAGACAAAGATTTTAATTAATATCTTTGTCCTCTGAACTCATTCATTTAAATATTTGTAGGTTAACGATTTAATATTGGCTTGGAAATATTTAAGATGAATTTCAGGTGAAAAAAATCTTTGGGGCAAGATCCAGGTGGCCTAGATGGAAATCAAGGCGCAAACCTATATCGTCCGATCTATCCCAATGCTAGAACAAGTTCGTAAAGTAATCAAGGCACAAGGTGGATACACCATGTTGTGGCGGTCATGAAATATTAAAATAGAAAAAAAAATTTTTTTTTTTATATATAAAAAAAAATTTTTTTGTTTTACATTCGTGTTGTGTTTAAAACGAGCAAAAGTAATGCAACTCGTAATTTTAAATAAAGCTCGTGCTCATAAAAAGTCTACTTTATTAATACATTCTAAGATTTTTTTATGTGAATACTATACTATTTACAAGTAAAATAAAAAAAAAAATAA